CCCCCCGTTTTTGACATGTATAATAGGACAGGAGAAAATGTATAGGTCAGGAAGGTAGACTTGCAGACAACATTGTAGGGCCTCTTGATGAGATCAGCTAAAAGAGCTTGAATAAGTAGTACAAAGTCATGAAATAACTAGCAAATACTTAATGACACTAAGGAAATGCTTGTGAGAGAAGCCTATACCCAAGAGGAAGATTTAAGGTAGTTTAAAAGGACTGGTTGCCCATTATATTTAGATCAGTACCAGCTAAATCATAGGCTGAATGACAAACATGATGGTGAGATGTTATCTTAATTACTTGTAAAACTCTGGCTACTGGATTCTGTACTTCTTAATATTTTGTCTGAAGTGTTACTAACTAGCATTTTAGTGACATGGGTTGAGTGGTAGTGCTGTACCCACTTTCAACTCCTAATGCGAAGTCAATAGTATGCTAGAGTATGATAGGAGTAGTGGCATGAAACATGTTTAGCTTGGGGTTGTGTTTGCAAATTGGAAATATGTGACCAACTTTGTTGTTCTTGCACTTCCAGATGGATGGAGGCTTGTCTGAACGAGGAGCTGCCTCCCACAACAGAGCTGGAAGAAGGATTGAGAAATGGAGTCTACCTGGCCAAACTTGGAAACTTCTTCTCCCCTAAAGTGGTTTCTGTGAAGAAAATTTATGATAGGGAACAGACTAGATACAAGGTGAGAGCTGTTGGCCATAGATACTGCTCTAGGTATACATCTAAAATAGGAAAATGTGCACACGGAGATACTGTGAGCAAATAAGCAGAAATTTAGTTTATATTACTATTACCTGGGAAACTCTACCTTCACTCTAGTTTAAGTGAGGGGGGTGGACTCTTCATTTTATATCTGAGCTTGTACTCGTATGAAAGAACTTGTCATAAACAGTCAATATTATTGTATATAGAAGACTTCTGACTTCTTTTCTGTGAAAGTACTGTTTTCACTATCCCATCTTAATGGATGAACCTCCCTGCTATTCTTGGCAGCTGTAATATTTTGTTTATTACTGCCCTCCCCCTTCTTCCTGCCTATTTTTATTTCAGGCAACTGGTCTCCACTTCCGGCACACAGATAATGTAATCCAGTGGCTGAATGCCATGGCTGAGATTGGCCTCCCCAAGGTAACTTCTGTTGTATGTGCAGATAAATAAATAATCTCAGAAAAGCTTTACATTCTGTGGAAGCGTTTGCTGTTGTACAAAAACATGTAGTTAATTCTTCATTTTCTAGATTTGCATCCCTATAGAAATTCTCTCCTAAAACATTCTGAAAGATTTCATTCTGCTGTGTGTGTGAGAATGTTTAGAAGCAAATTGATTCATCCTTCTGTACCATATCCTTAATATCATAACCTTGGTAACATCTGCATTACACTGTTCTTGACATGCATTCTTTTGAGCAATATCTGAGCTACAGTTTGATGGTGGAAGTTTGGGTTTTTTTTTTTAAATCTATGCTAAAAGAAGCAGCGCAACATAAAATACTATGTTCTCCATTTTCCCTACAAAATTTTCACATCAAGTTGAAATGTTCCTGGCATAGCTTAATCAAATATAAATTATTAGCTTCACTAGGGGAATGGCCAGGTAACTCTTCTGAGCTAATAAACACTGTTTCCTGAAAATATATGGAACTGTGGTAGTGTTGTGCTGATAGTCAAGTTGCCTACATGGATAGTAAGTAAACTTTTTGTAACACGTTGTGGTTTTGGTTGGGGTTTTTTTTTTTGTAAGCCATGTTATGGTTAGTCTCACCAAAACCAGCATTGCATAGTTTAATCTGATGTATGTTTTGTTTGCCTACATGCTTGCAAATTGAGCATTTTATGTTTGGCAAAACTTTTCAAATAGCTTGTTGAGATTTACTCGTTGAGCCTTGCTGGGATTTATGATGATCTTAGAGGAACAAATTTGAAATATGCTGTTAATGTTGTTAAGTGAAAATAAATTAGGAGAGAGCAAGACACAAGTTAAGTGCCAGGTATGAGGCAAGGTTTTCAGATGTGAGTGGGTTTTGGGGGGAAATAAATGTGTGAGGAGATGTTAAAAGGAACTGGGCTGGGGTCCAGTACATTGACAAAGAGATATTGGTGTTAAGTATTTTCCCACACAGAAGAGCCAGGGAACACTGATACTGTGGAATTGTGAGGGTCCTTCAGTTCCTCTTGGCCTTTACAGAAAGAGCAATGCTATTTTGTGCTCATAGGCAACAGCAAGGAACCTTCCAATAACTAGAAAGTAACATACCTTGTCAGCACTTCTGAATGAATTGATGCTTCAAGTATTAGCCCCTTGTGATAAACTTTGAAGAGCTTTGCATTTGAGACTGCCTGAAAGCTGCTGGGTCCAGCTAACTGAAAGTGTAGTATGCAGAGCACCTCAGTGCTGGTCTCAGTTTCCCTTTGTCACTGTTGCTTCTCTTGCTTCTCAACCCCATTTAGTCCAAAGAAAATCTTTTTTCTGTTGTATTTTTTTCATCTCTTGGCTTTCCTTGACCCAGTATCTTGGTGGGCACACAAAAGAAAGAGTTTACTCATCTGTGTGTGTAGAACATGGGCAGGAAAAGGGAAGCCCTGGTTTGGGTGGTAGAAACAAAAGGCAGGATTGGCACTTCAAGTAGGAGAAATGTTGGGCCAGGGTAGAGAAGCTTGAAGAGTTTTGTTCTGTAGGCTATTTTATTAGTGTACTGCAGAAGAATTGGGCTTATCATAGTTACGTGATTTGGCTATATAGAGTGAGTATAATTAAGCCTTCTAACTTTGTTTTATCTTCAGATATTCTACCCGGAAACTACAGATATCTATGATCGCAAGAACATGCCACGCTGTATCTATTGTATTCATGCACTCAGGTAAGGCATGCTAGGCAGAAATCTAACTGCTCCTGAAATCTTTCTGCAAAGCTGAAAGGCAAGAGGGGAGAGAGCTGAACTGAAGGCTGGATGAGGATGAATTTTCTAGCAGAACAGCCTTGCCAGGTCAGAAATGTTCCTGACTGATGTTTGTGGTTTTGTTTTGTAAATACTTAATGACTAGACTTACAAAGATTGTAAGTCTAAGATTGGAGATTGAGATTTAAATGTTGAGGTCATATGGAAAGGTGGAATTGCTTACCCTCTGTTTTCCAATCATGTTGAAACTGACTTTACCAGAGGAGTGAATATTTACTTTATTAATAGTTTATTTCCAATGTTCCTGTATAATCAGGTATTTTAATAGTGGGTACATTTCCATGATCTGTGCTGAGCCAGCATGACAGGCAAAAAGGAGGAGTTGCTTCTCTTTCCCCAGTCCCATTTGTCCTTAGCTGTATGAATTCATCCGTGCTTTGTAGCAGTTCCATTTCACTTGGAGCCTGATGAGAATACATTACCACCATTTTAGTAAGCCAGATCAGCTTAGTGAATACTTCCCCTCTACTCAGGACCAGTGAGGCGACACCTACAGCACTGTGTCCAGTTTTGGGCTCCCCAGCATAAGAGACGCACACATACTGGAGAGAGTTGAAGGAAGATGATTAATGGACTAGAGCCTCTCTCCTAGGAGGAAAGGCTGAGAGAGCTGGGGCTGTTCAGCCTAAGGACGAGAAGGCTCCAGGGGAATCTCAGCAATGTGTGCAGCTATCTGAAGGGGGGGTGCAAAGAAGATGAAGCCAGGCTCTTTTCAGTGGTGCCCCATGACAAGACAAGAGGCACCTGGCGCAAACTGAACCGCAGGAGGGTCCCTTTGAACATCAGGAAACACTTTATTTACTGTGAGGGTGACCGAGGAGTGGCACAAGTTGCCCAGAGAGGCTGCGGAGACAAAAGCCATCTGGACACGATTCTGGGCAACCAGCTCTGTTGGGCCCTGCTTGAGCAAGTAGGTTGGACAAGACAAGCCAACTAAAAAGATCCCTTCCAGCCTCAACCATTCTGTGATTCTGCTAAGACTTCAGAGTGGTGGACCGGTTATGTGCAGCCAAGGGGGGAAGAGAGGAGTCAACTCACCTTCTTGGTGATTATGAGCTGTTACGTTGGCTTACCTGAGCGGCTCCTTGAATCTGTATCTCCTAAAATTATCCGTGTCGTTGTCAGAACCACAAGGAAAATTACTAGTTCTAACTATTTCCTTATTTTCTTTTTTAGCCTATACCTGTTCAAACTGGGTCTTGCCCCCCAGATTCAGGATTTATTTGGGAAGGTGGACTTCACAGGTATAATATAAAAAAAAGTGCTGATAAGTGTACTGCCTTTATCTCATACTCTACTAGACATTGTATAGATCTGTTAAAGGATTCTTAATATCCTAAATGCAAATTAAATTCAAAATTAATGGCTGTGAGGAGATCTAATAATTTAAGAAACAGGTTTGATTTGGGCGCTTCTGAGCCAGGCTGTTAAATAGCCATTGGTTCGTTAATCATTACTTTTGCAAATAACGACCCCTTAACCTTTTTGCCACTGTTGTAAGATGCTTAAAACCTGCCTCTATCCCCTTGGAATAGGTTTCATTTTGGAATTTGGTAAATGGTTCTGACCTCCCTTTACAATTTAAAGTAAAGATGCCATCAGCTGAAGAAGAATTTGCTAGCTGATCTACTGCAGGAAATTCCAGCACAAAGTCTTATGTCCACATTTCTCCTCAAGGTTTCAGTTACTTGATTTTTGCAAAAGTGTCAAATTCTGTGTTTTGCAGTAGTGAGGCTCCTGCTTGAGGGCGTGCATCTGATTAAAATGTGTATAAACTTTATTTTCCTGCAAAACAGTTGTTGGTTGTACCTATAAAATGCTAAACTATCAAGTCTGTCTTTGAGTTGTATGGTATTTAGCAACAGTATATCTCGATATCCTTCATTCGCTTTTCTCAGCATAGTCTCTCTGTGGGATGGGGGGAAAGAACGCTAAAATACTGCCTGTGCATTTTCCTGGCCTGTGGGCAGCCGTAGTTGAGGCACCTCAGAATGACAGTCTGTTGCCAACTCCTCATGAGAGTGGTGTGTTGTTTCCTAGTGAGAGAGGCTATAGAATATTGCCATATGAATTCCTGGGAAAAATGTAGATTTTAGGAGAGTGTGCAAAATGTCTATCAGTTTTCATTTATTTTGTTTTACTTACTGAGTTATATTATTTAAACAGTAATTGTAATTTATTGTAGTTATCCTGAGTTTTTTTTGTAGCAGCAGTTGGTATAGCAGTGCTGATTCCTAGTGTGTTTAAGCCTGCATAACACTGTTTTTGTGTATGTTTCAGAGGAGGAAATCAGTAATATGAGGCTTGAACTGGAGAAGTATGGTATTCAGATGCCTGCCTTCAGTAAAATTGGAGGAATTCTTGCAAATGAACTTTCTGTGGATGAAGCAGCATGTAAGGAAAAACTGAGTTTCATTTTATGTGATTATTCAAATCACCAGCTTAGATTATTTTTTAAAAAGTATTGGTTTTAATGCGCCCTGTTGTAAGACAGAGTCTTTTTGCTAGGCCTTTTGGAAGACTGGGAAAATGGTTTTCTTCTCTCCTTTGTGTGTTGTGTGGTTTTTCTTTCTTTCTGGAGCATGATGATTTGACTACCTAGAATGTCATACTAGGAAGTAGACTGCTGTTTTTTTGTCAAGAACACAAAGCCATGGTGTAATGAGAGGTACCTGGATAATTCTTTTTCTTTCCAGTTAATTTCCAGATGATTCTTCTGCTCTTTCCAGTTAAGTTCTCAATTTTTAACAGAGCTGTTGTGTTTGGGACTAACTGGCAGACTGTGACTTGTTTTTCAGTACATGCTGCTGTCATTGCCATTAATGAAGCAATCGACCATCAGGTTCCAACTGACACTCTTATGGCAATGAAGAACCCTAATGCCATGCTAATAAATCTTGATGATCAACTGGAATCCACTTACCAAGACACACTTTACAGAGCAAAGCAAGACAAGATGGAGAATGCTAAAAATAGGGTAGATGAATTCTTCTTTCGAACCATCTATTTGCATGCATTGCAACTTTGTGTTGTGGTGTAAACTGTGGGGAATTCACATAATGTGTGTTACAGTCCTATATGTGTAGCATTGGGTGGATTTACTTCTGGTGGTATTCTGAGATGTTCCACAGTAACCTGTCTTTCTGTTGTAGAAGACAGGTAACAGTTAGCTGTGTTACTCTATTTAGCTGTCCGTAATACGGGCTGGATAGATATAGAATTCATGTCAGCCTTTGTATGTTGGAAATACTTTCCTTCTATTTTCATACATTATAGATATATTTTTCCTAACAATGCAGTGATGAGCAAAACTGGCTGATGTGGTCAATGTTGTTTTAGAACACTGTATATCAAATGCCTAGCTCTGTGTACTGCTTTCTATGTTGTGGAGCTTTACTGTGTGTTCATATAGAGCCATTACATTGAAATAAGGTGTTTCTATGCTGTCTGTATCAGAGTGTGAGTGTATTTACTTTATACGTATTTACTTCTAGGGCTTCTTTTTGCAGGTGTAGAGGTGGACTATCTGTGACCTATCACAGCTCTATATAGATATAGAGTTATCCTCCCTGACCTTTTCAATGGAAGGTCTATGAGGGCAAATGAAACTGTAGAAACACTGAATAGTTTTTATTTCATCTTCAGATTGCCTCAGAAAATTCAGAAAGAGAGAGAGATGTGTATGAAGAACTTCTGACTCAAGCTGAGATTCAGGGAAACATCAATAAAGTGAACAGTATGTATCATGCTAAAGTAATAGTCTTAAAAGAGTACTTAATGGTACCTGTGCTCCTCCTCGCTTTCTGTAATGCTAACAAAAGTGGAAGGCAACTACCCTGTTTCTGGGGGGTGGGGGTGGGGTTGGTGGTGGCTGGAGAGGGGTTGTGGGGTTTTTTGGGGAGGTTTGTTTGTTATGTTGGGTTTTTTTCTCATTATTAGTACATAGTTGTAAGCTGAATTCATTTTGACCTCTGTTGCCCTTCCTTTAGGAAGTGCATCGTCCATGTTGCTGCCCCCTCCCCCCCAATTCTTCATCTTGAGTAATGCATGCTATTTCCAACCTTCAGCCCCTTTTTCAAGTACTACTTTGCAATTGACTTTGGAAGTCTTCCATTTGGGTTACATACCTAACTTGCTATCTATCAGGTCTAAGACTATTTCTTTCTAAGCAGTAGGTTATATAAACCACAGGACTTCCTCATTTAATGTTTTTCTCAAAACTCTCCTTTACTGTTGCTAGCACACGCAGCCATATCAAAGATTGACCTAGCTTTGGAACAAGGAGATGCATTAGCACTCTATGAAGCTTTGGCAACATCAGCCCTGGGGCTCCGAGGATTGGTACGAGAAAATTGTGACTGGTATTTCAAGCAGTTTTTGGGTGACAGACAACAGAAACAGGAGGTATGGAAAAGTCTAGATTACCCTAATTCATGAGGTTTTCCCCCTGCCCCGCCTTTCACCCTACCACTGTATCTTTATCGCTTGCTATATACCTGCTTTACAGTTTAGTGTTGGTTTGAAAGAGTTAATGCTAAGAGACAGAAGCATACAGTAAGCGTATTTATAGAGTTTTCATCTCTGCATATGAAAGGCCAGTATAATGCTTGTATGTATGTGTATATAATTAAAATACTTTCACCAAACCTTAAAATACTAACTCGGTGTGTGTATAAAACTGTTATAGGTCCGTCTTCCCTTATTTTACTATTGTCAGTGCCCACATGATGTGGATATTTGTGTTTTATAAATACCTATCAGATAAGCATATACTACTTTCACTGTGGAGAATCCCACCATACACCATTTGTAGACATGGCATTTAGGGACATGATTTAGTGGTGGACTTGGCAGTGTTAGGTTTAAGGGTCTCTTCCAGATTCTATGATTCTACAACTAAGGTTAACCTTAGTTTCTCATTTCAAGCCAACTCTTCAGTGGATTTTATGCGCAGGCTGCTCATGTATGCTGCTTATAACATGCACAGAACAGTTTTTAAAAACAGCATTGTCTCAGTTATCACAATGTCACATAAGTTAATAGGGGAAAAAGATGCTGATGCAGAGATGATTATTACTATTGCATCTCTTTATTAAATGATTTTTTTTTTAAAAGCTGCAGCAAGGTAGACAAGGAAGATATTGCATGCATTTGGATTCAGGAAAAATGCAGACAAGTCAGTTATACAGCTAGAGCAAACTAGATCTTGAGCACTGGGGTGGATGCATAGGTGCTTGTATGTCACAGGTAAAAAATGCAATGACGTGACCCAACAGTGCCTACTGGAAGACCAGTCAACAAGGAGGAGATAAGATGAGATGGCTTTTGCACTGTAGGGAGTGTAGAAAGACCTAGAAAAGTTTGGACTGCATAATTACAGTAAGAGGCTGAAAAAACACATTTGTTCTTAAGGCCTTTGAACCGCAGTTTGGAGTAGAAGTAGAATATGACAGGCAATCAGAGAGCTGAATCTGTAGTAAGGCCTGGCAGTTTAAACTGAGGTCCTGGAAAAGTGTCAGGTTTGAATTTCTGCTTATTTTTGTAGAGTGTAGCTGCATTTTTATAAGACTTTTAGATCTTACCACTGTTAAATTGTCATGTACTGGATAGTATAAGCCTTAAATTGCCAGAACTGGCAAGTGGGAAACAAACACTTGGTGTCAGGCACGAAGTAATCATACGTAACTCACTGTTGTAGGCCACTGCTTAGCTTGAGCATTGTTCAGCATATTTAGTGACAGCAGTTAAAGGCATGAGAACAAATTGGAGTGTGTTCTCAGTGCTGAGAAACCTGAAGCAAGCCTCAGAATGCCATTCACACAGCTTTGCTCACAAAATTGCCCTTTTAGTTTTCTTTTAAGTCTGCAAACATCAAGCTTCTGGGCTGACCTTTCTTACACAATACACTACAGAATGAAGGTGGTGATCAAACCCCGTAGCATATTTCTTCCTAAATTGTTGCAGGTATCTGGCCTAATCTTTCGTAGGAATCAATAGGCCAGGGTGGTCATGTCTCCAAGTGAGGAAGTGGTTGGCTGGGTTGGCAGGCAAAGGGTGGAGAGTGGTGTGGATGAGAGACACCCCAAAGTCAACAAGACAGGGCTGAAGGGGACCGGCCTCTGCATATGTATGGAAGTGATGAGAGCAGTGTTACAAGGGAATCTCTTACGCTTTCCCTGGGAAGTCAACGTGACCAGGTGCCTCTCTGAAGTGCCTGTACACTAGTGCGTGCAGGGTGGGGAAAGAACAGGAGGTATTAGAAGTCTATGTGCGGCGGCAGAGCTGTGATATCACTGGGATCAGAGAGATGTGGTGGGATAGCTGCACACATTGCTGAGATTCCCCCGGAGCCTTCTTGTCCTTAGGCTGAACAGCCCCAGCTCTCTCAGCCTTTCCTCCTAGGAGAGAGGCTCTAGTCCATTAATCATCTTCCTTCAACTCTCTCCAGTATGTGTGCGTCTCTTGTGCTGGGGAGCCCAAAACTGGACACAGTGCTGTAGGTGTCGCCTCACTGGTGCTGAGTAAAAGGGAAGGATCATCTCCCTTGACCTGCTGGCGACACTTCTAACGCAGCCTACTCTACCATTAGCCCTCTTTGCTGCCAGGGCACTTTGCTTGCTCATGTTCAACTTTGTGTCCACCACACCCTCTTCTGCAGAGGTTCTAGGCAACCTGCTCTAGAGCAGGGGGTTTGACTAGACTATTTCCAGAGATTGCTTCTACCATCAACTACTCTGTGGGTTTTGTCATTTTAAGAAGTCTCACTTAGAACTTACGCCTCTCTGGGGCTGAATAAACTCTCCAACTTAAAATTTCTGGGACTCGGTTGTAGTACCTAATTAGGAACCAGCTTTCAAACAGGGTCCTTGTCCTTTTGTTGTCAGACTTTAGTACAGCTCATTCAACTCTTCAATTGCTATGTAATTTATTATGGAGCAGGACTGCAGTTGCGATGGGAGCTGCCTGGCTGTGTGACTGTACCTGTGTTATGTGACCTGATGTATTCTCCCACCTTGGACAGTCTGCGTAGCGCTTGTTAGGACCTACATTTCTACTAACTTAACATGTCCTCTTCCCTGAACCCCCTCAAAATCTATCTCTATCAATATATGCTGAGAGAGAGATAGATGTATATAACACCTTTCCTTTGTAGACAGTTACAGCTTATTCTGCTGGAGTGCAGCGCTTTTGTGTTCAGAAGGATCTCTGTCTGAAAGGCATACAGCAATAATTCAGCTGTGCTTGGTTGTTTGTTTATTTTTATTTGGGTTGGGGTTTTTTTTGGTGTGATGCAAGATTTGTTTGATCAATAGCTAAACAATGTTCCTTAGAGAATAATTCCTTACAGTGAATGTGCTGTTTTGAGGTACTCTTTCCATTGGCCAGTGTACTCCTGTACTTTTTGAGTGTTCCTTACCTGGGATTCTGTGTGAATGATGGAGCTGAAGGATGCGTGTATTGCTGTTACACCCTTCTGTGTGGGTATGAGGACTTCTACAGCACAGACTTAGCCCTGCAGCTGTTGCTATTCAGATTTGTCACTTGTCTCTGAAGAAAGATCTTCACAAGCTATGTTTCTTGGGACCTACAATTAAGATAAAATAGGAGAAGTGCAGGCTTTTTAAAGAGTCCTACCAAGCTTTGGTCTGGCAGAAACTCTCCATAGTTGTCGAAAGATGTCTCTAGGGATGAAATAGGACTGGGAAGATTTTTACCAAGTTTTTTAGTAGCCACAAAAAACAAGATTGCACATTCTTCCAGAATGTAATTGGAAGGTCTTGTTACATAAATGTACTCTGGTGCTTTTGGAGAATTATCATCTTTACTGTGTGAACTATACAAAGGGTTGTGACCTATATGGCTACTGCCCAAGTTATCCAAGCCCTCCTGCTCCCCCGTCACTCAATCTCATTTTCTGTTTGTATTCATGTGTTACCATATAGTCGAAGAAGCATGTATGTATAAACCAAAACTGCATGTTGTCCATTTTTTATGTTCTGCTAACTCTTTCATTGCTCAGAGGTAAAATGGAACATTAATGCATTGCTTCACGGCAGACTACACAAGTGCTGATTTCACTCCAGCATGCAGCTTGTGTATAGGGAGTCTTTTCCCACAAAATTGTCCCCTTTGTCTTAAATGTTTTATGATTTTGGAAGCTGGGTCTTGCTTTTAATTGCTGTGTTCATGGGACTGCACTTCTAATACTGTAAAAGGGATCAGGTTGTGCACATACAGTCTTTCAGCATATGAACTGAGAATCTGGTGAGTAATTCTGTCCTCATGTATGTGGCATTCTTTGTTTGCAGAAGCTGTGTGGCATTAGAGTGTTTTAAGGAAAAGCTGAGGCTTTTTTTTCTTTTATTGAGCTATTTGAAGTGAATAAGCTGACATTGTTTCACCCTCTGGGCTGCTTTTTTTCCTCAGGCTGGCCTTACGGGTCTTCTGCAGAAGGAAGAGTTGCAGTTGGGAGTGGATGCTGCTAACAGGGCAGCACAACAGTATCAGCAAAGTAAGGATCAGCAGAAATTATTGCAGCAAAGTGACCATGGATGTGATCAAAAGGATGAGATAGCACAATATTTGGGTCTATGTGGGGATATGTGAGATCTCTCTCAAACCGTTACACATGTTCTTAAAGTACTTCACAGCTGCTAAGAACATTAGAGACGGTTGACCTGATTATTTATGGTGTCTTTTATCCAGCTCTTACAATATTGCTGGAGATAACAGCATATAATTTGACATATTAAGAAACATGGAACTCTTGCATCCGTCTTAACCTCTTTTTCTAGAATGCTTGCATGAGTTTTTGTGCAATGGGTCTGTGAGGGAAATCTGGATTGCTCCATGAGGTGTGAAAGCTAGGTTATCTGCTGACCATTGACATAAATCTTACTTGGTGTGAGCTACAGAACCTTTAACTATTTCCAAATATCAGGTAGCAAAGAAAATGCAGATCACGATGGCTGATTATTTTTTGATTGATGCTTCTGACACCATGCAGAGCTCTTTTCCGGAGAACAATGTTCAGTTCTGGCTGTGCAGGATCTAATAGGTAGAAAGGAGACTACTGGAGAACTGGGGAAAGAAGGTTTAGAATACAAGAGGAAAATAGTGAATGCCTAATAACTAGGAGGCTACCGTCAAAGTACTTTACTTGTTCAGCATGGAGGTCGGCATTTGTTTACCTACTTGCACTATTTTGAAGTTAGCCAAGGTGTACCCACTATAGAGTGCCTGTTACTGCCTTGAGCAGGATAGACATAGACAGGAAGAAAAAGTTGGTACTACTCATCCGTACAAAAATTTGCAATTATGAGGCTTCCTAGTATCAGAAGACTGAAATGGTGAAACAATCCTTTGATAACCAGGCAAAAAGGCGAACTGGTTTTAAACATGAGCTTTATTTTAAAGAAGGCATTACATATTCTAGTTGTCTGCAGTAATGGAAGACTAACTGGGAAAGTATGGATCAGAAAGTTTCACTTGTTTCCTGCAACTAAGGGAATTATTCTTTTGCCTGTTAGATATCTGATTATTGAGTAGAATAAAAGTGTTCTTATTACTGAGAACTCAACTGTCTGCCTTCCTCATTCTTTATGCTACCTCTTTGAACTTCTAGGACTGGCAGCAGTAGCCAAAATTAATTCTGCAATTCGAATGGGTGATGCTGAGAAGACTGTGGCAGAAATGATGAATCCAGAGGCCCAGTTACCAGAGGTTTATGCATTTGCTGCAGATCTTTACCAAAGGGAGCTGGCCACTTTGCAGCAACAGAGCCCTGAAGTAAGTACCGCACTCTCTCTTATTTCTGGAAGTTGGTATGGATCACTGGGTCTGCCTTGTCTGTTTCGTTAAACGCATTCTCTGGAACAGACATGTCTTTGAATCTTCATGGAAGTGCTTTGGTGTTCAATCTGTTCTGATGTGTGAAGTTTGATCCCTAAATCTTGAGCTACTTGGCCCTTTAAGATTCTACTTCAATCTCCTACTTGGTGTTCTAACTTTGTGATACTCATCTCTCTACTTCTGTGCCATAAAGGTTGCACCTTTGCTTCTACTTGGCCCTTTAAGATTCTACTTCAATCTCCTACTTGGTGTTCTAACTTTGTGATACTCATCTCTACTTCTGTGCCATAAAGGTTGCCCCTTTGCTTTGTTATACGTCTGTTCTGACAACTACTCTGTTCTGTGTGCAGCAATGGTTTGTAAAGAGCGAGTGGAACTAATTTGTTCTCTTTGTACACAGGGTAACCTCACGCATCCAGAATTATCTGTTGCTGTAGAGATGCTGTCTTCTGTGGCCCTGATTAATAGGGCTTTGGATTCGGGGGATGTGAATACAGTGTGGAAACAACTGAGCAGTCCTGTCACAGGGCTTACAAACATTGAAGATGAGAACTCTCAGAGGTGGATATTTCAAGGAATCATGTCTGCCCATGATGTTGCTTATATTCTGTGACTTCTTGAATTTTTTTTGCCTCTTAACACTTTACATTCTTTCTACGTTATTTATCACGATATTGATTTAATTTCCATTGACTCTTGTGTCTTGTTTTTGCAATTACTGTTCCGTACTGATTTGATTTGCATGCTGTCTCTCAACGCTTTCTCATGAATTTCACATTAAAGCCATGTTGTGGTATCATTAGGTTATCACTAATACTACACCAGCACACCTACAGCGTTCTTTGCCCTGGACCCTCATTCAGTGTTTTAGTGCTTTTGTCAATTAGTTCACATTTGGGCTGACCATCCTGCATGCAGCCTTTCCTCTTTCTCCCCTTCTCCCTATTCGTTCTAGTTTCAGCCCTAATATTACATCTTCCGGTTTGTGTACAATCCTCATGTTGTATTGTGTTTTCCTGGCCAGCTTGTGGTGATATGATGTTTGTTGGTTTTGGCTTTTGTTCTTTGACAGATATGTTGATGATCTGATGAAGCTGAAAGCTCAAACACGTGCAGAAGGAAATGAATTTATCACGTGGAATGATATCCAGTCATGTGTTGATCGTGTGAACATAGTTGTGCATGAAGAACATGAAAGTAAGGTTTTTTGCTTGATTCATGCTAGACTGATCCTAGCTCATAAGAAGTGCTAAAATTAGGTACATGTCAGTACAGAAAGTTATTAATTGCCTTGTAGTTGTATCACACATTAGATATGTGGGAGGATCTTTGTTGTGAGCAAGACTTGGTGATCTGTAATATAAAAGGCTTGGTAGCAGGACTGTTGATGGGAGAGATGATCAGGCAGTCAGGAGTGTTCGTGGTATTGAAATCAGTATCTCCAAACAGTTTATTAATCCTTCCAATGCAAATGTCAGCCCTTTTTTGTTAGCAAAATGCATTGTCTGCCATCAGTGTCTAGGATTAGTCTAGAATCTTTTCTGATTTTGCTTCAATTCCTCAAATTTAACAGAAACTAGTATTACTAAAATCTCAGAGTTAATTGTAGCCCAGTCTTGGAGTACTCCATCCTCCTTCCTAATTTGCTGCGTTAAGACTTTTCTTGAAGTCTTGTTCTCTCTTTCACTGCAATCTCTGCCTTGTTCAGGTTTTCCTCTTCTCCCTTTAGTGCTCCTTTTGAATGTGCTTTGGCCTTTTTACTTTTCCAGTATTTAGTGGAAGTTCCACAGATTCAGTCCAGGATCCCCCTCTACTCTTTATTGATGGGTAATCTGACCTGCGAATGCAAGATAAGCTACCCATCTTTGTGTTGATGAGTCTCAGATGTAATGATCTGTCAGATGCATTTCTACAGTGGATGAGGAGCTTGAGTGAACAACAGAGAAATGAGTTTATTTCCAGGTCTTATTCTCAGTCGTTTAACTCCTTGCTGTGTTAACACTACTTCCAAATTATAGCTTCTTTGAAGATATATCCTTTGAAGGTAGTATCAGCGTGTATAAAAGAAATAAGCTTTTGCAGTTACTTTGATTCAGTCATAAATCAACAGGGATGCCCAAAAAAGTTTATTCTGAAATGCTGTCTGTTCAACAGTTATGTATTCAGTTATGTTTTTGCTTAAAACATTTGATACAGATTTTTCAAAGAATCATGGAATGGTTTGGGTTGAAAGGGACCTTAAAGACCACCCAGTTCCAACCCCCCTGCCATGGTCAGGGACACCTTCCACCAGACCCGCTTGCTCAAAGTGCGCTCCAGCCTGGCCTTGAACACTTCCAGGGAGGGGGCAGCCACAGCTTCTCTGGGCAACCTGTGCCACTGCCTCACCACCCTCACCAGGAAGAATTTATTCCTTATATCTGATCTAAATCTACCCTCTTTCAGTTCAAAGCTATCACCCCTTGTCATATCACTACATGCCCTTGTAAAAAGTCTATCTCCAGCCTTCAAAGAACATTTAATTATCTCATCAGTTTGATGCCATTCAAATTCTAAGTTCCAGATATTGGGACCCAAGTCTCAAATAAGAGTTGAAATGGAAAGCGCTGATCTTATAAGAGGTTAATTGATTTGTTTACAGTTAATTCCATCAGGAAATGAGGAGCTCTTATTTTCTGTTTTAATACTGGATATGACTACTAATTGTTAAAACTAGTATCTATAAAAGCCAAAATGCCTTGTAACTGACCTTCTGACCAGTAGACCAGTAGACGAATATGCCTGCGCAGCTGTTGCCTTTTAATACAAAATATTGGTACAGTGCAAAAAAAAATTCCAGATCGGAAAATACGTGAAAACCCATAGAAATTATATATGTATGCAGCAAGTGTGAGTACCAAAGCTTAAATACTCATGAAGGAAAAAATTCCTGATGCAAGCTGAGAAATGTGAATGGGTGTTAAGCTAACTTCTATGCTTCTTCTAGTTTTGCTTTTTTTTAATTTCTATTTTTTAGTAGTGTTTATGTTAATAAGTGTCTTTTGGCAGTGATAAAAGACTGAGATTTAGCATAATGATGAAAACTTCAGCAAAACACAAAACTGGAGTAATTCTGCTTTCTCTAAGACAGTATTAGTTAAAATCTAGAATGGAGATAGAGAAGTCCTTGAAAATAACACAAGTAAGCAAACTTAGGTAGATCCCTGTGAGGTTCTGTATCAGGTGGCTCAATTTTCTATTTTTTTTTTTCAGTTTCATTAAGGGGCCATAATCTTTGGTTATGACCAGTACTGAAAACCTCCTGCATATGCAAGTAGCATGTTGTTTACGTTCAAGCCATTTTTGTAATACTTAGCTCAAGGCCTTGCATCATAAGAGGGGAGAGATTCATCACAAATGTGGAGGTGATGATAAAGTTTATATTGTATACTGAGACAGACAGGTGTCTTCTGCAACTTCTTGTTGCGTAGTTGGTGAGTTGTGTTTCACCTTAAAAAGAGTTTATAGTCCAGAGGGTTAAATTTTAATTTGAGAGCTTGCTATCTTAACTCATTTCCTGGATCTCCAAATAGACGCTGGGTTTCCTGTTGGGGTCACGTGAGCAGATTTGTTGAAGCTGCACGAACACAGACCCACACCAGTGCGTGCACACACCAAGATGCTAGTTTCATAGTATCTTTTCTATGTAAGAGGTCACAGAGAAGTCTAAAAGCTTGTGTAGTCCCAACACCCTGTTTCTTATAATGTTCCTTATCTTGTAAAAAAAAAAAGTGTAGAAATGAGATAAGCTGTTCTCACAAGGAATTTCTTAATTCTTTAGTCTACTTCATATATGCCCTTATGCAAGGACACTTTTTATCTCCTGTCTGAAGAAGTTAAATTAGTGTTAGAAGGTCCTCAAGGCATACGAGCACATATTTTTCATTTCCACTATCCTTGTAAATAGTGTCAAATTTAAAAATGCTTTCTAGTGAGGAGCTCTAACATATTGCTGTTCCATGGAGTAGTCTTGTCATGCCCATATTAGCAAACTAATCAGAGAGAATTACTGCTTACATTCTGTGCCCTTTCTTAAGTCAAACAGTTATCATATCTGCTTTTTGACAGAAACCATGCAGTCATTTTAGTGATCCTGGTTCTTGCCGTGTCCTCAACATACATTTTTTCCTAATCTCTACTCCATCCAGATATCACGTCTTCCCTAAGATGTTCTGTTTATATGAAAAACTGTTATGATTCTCTTCCCTGTCTAGGAGAAAAAGTCATAATCCTCAGATACGTTAACCAAAGTTGGAAATCCCCACACTGAGCTCTTCACTTTCTTTTGTCTAAAAGATCTTTTTGTTCTGCACTGATCAAACCATGATTTGAATTGATACTACTTTAAGCAGGGAATTGAATCAGAGTCCATCTCAACCTAAGTTATTTTGTGATTCACAGGAGATGGTTGCAGTAGGTAGGGCATGTATGATGTAGACTCTGTTTGCATTTAGCTAACTATAAGATACTTATTTTTGTTTGTGTTTCATTTAGCTGAATGGTAAATTTTACTGTACTTGAACAGCATCCACATCTCTGATAATGCAGCTAATACTATGTATGTTTAATAAAAGCTTTCTAAAATATGAAGTTACTGTATTTTTAAATGGTATTCCATGCAAATCTTCTTTCTAGAGAAGCTAGAACCTTGGAAAACTGTAACCTATGGACTCTGGCTATTTGGGCTTTGATAATTCTCTTCTAGTCACTCCGAGTTGGATGTCTGTGCGCTCAATTCTGTCCCTGCATGTGGTCTCCCTGAGTGTGGGGTTTTTTTGTTGTGGTTTGTTTGGTTTTTGTTTGTTTGTTTTTTTAAATTACAGTGCCCAGGCATTGTGACTACTTTAAGGTAAAGAAATAGTCTTGCTTTCTTTACTAGTAAATAATATTTTTCTGTTAAAAATCATAGAATCATAGAACTATTATGGTTGGAAAAGACCTCAAAGATCATCAAGTCCAACCGTATACATGATGCCACCGTGCCCCCTAAACCCACTAAACCATGTCTCGAAGCGCCACATCCAAACATTTTTTGAACACCTCCAGGGATGGTGAGTCCACCACCTCCCTGGGGAGCCCGTTCCAATGCCTAACGACTCTTACAGTGAAGAAGTTCTTCCTAATATCCAACCTGAACCTCCCCTGGTGCAACTTGAGACCGTTTCCTTTTGTCCTGTTGCTAGTTACCGGGGAGAAGAGACCAACCCCCACCTCACTACAACCTCCTTTCAGGTTGTTGTAGAGGGTGATAAGGTCTCCCCTCAGCCTTCTTTTCTCCAGGCTGAACAACCCCAGCTCCCTCGGCCACTCCTCCTAAGACTTTTTCTCCAGGCCCTTTACCAGCTTTATTGCCCTTCTCTGAACACGCTCCAGGAGCTCAATGTCCTTCTTGTAGTGAGTGGCCCAAAACTGAACACAGTATTCGAGGTGCGGCCTCACCAGCACAGAGTACAAAGGGATGATCACTTCCCTAGTCCTGCTGGCCACGCTATTTCTGATACAGGCCAGGATGCTGTTGGCCGCCTTGGCTACCTGGGCACACTGCTGGCTCATGTTCAGTCGGCTGTCGACCAACACCCCCAGGTCTTTTTCCGCTGGGCAATATTGGAGTTCTCAGCTGAAACCTGGTTGAAGAAGGACTAACTACACTTTTCTTCTGAAACAATGCTTATGATTATTGTTGACCAAAAATGGAACTTTGCGTTTCTCCCCCTACACCTTTCTGCCTAGGGATTTTGGCAATTGGTCTTATCAATGAAGCTCTGGATGAAGGGGACACCAAAAAGACTATTCAAGCCTTACAGATTCCTGCAGCAAAATTGGAGGGTGTAGCCCCAAAGGTAGCACAGCATTACCAGGATACACTACTTCGAGCCAAGAGAGAGAAAGCACAGGTGAGTGCAATTAAATGCACCTCTCACAACCTTTACATCTGTGTAGTGCGATTATTACTGGTCCTGAAAGTCAGGAATCAAAACTGGAAGTGGAGAGCTGGGCATTCTGCATGCCATCAGCTGATCTTACTCAATCAGTTTAGATCTTTCTGTACTAGAGAAAGAGATTTGCAGCCAGACTGTATGAATCTTCATGAACTAAAGAAATGAGTATAAGGATATTAACTGCATGAGATGGCTTGCTACAGCTAATCCCAGCTCCAGAATGAGATATGTATCCTGTTTGTGGAGAAATAATATGCCTCATCCGTTTTTGCAAGGAGACCATGTTCATTCTGGGAGTTCTGAACTTCTGAATGGAAGTTTCCTGTAAGCTTAAGTTGTGGGAGGGTTTTTTTGTTTGTTAAATGTAGTCATAGGCATAGTTATATACAGCAAAAAGAAAGTTTCTGAAAGTGGAAAAATCCGTTAAATGATAAATTGGAAAAAAGAAATTAAGCAAAATGTATACTGATGCCTGTTGTTCATCTGGTGATGCTTTTATTGCTAATGATTTTTTGAGTGGTAGTTGTCGGTCTTATTAGCCAAGGACTTCTACCTACTTGTACATAGTTGGCTGCTTTTATTAACTAACTGACTAAATGTGAGGGTGAAGATAGGGAGAGGAAGAGCAAGTCTCATCTTACGGGTTTAGGAAAGAGGATGAGAGTGCACATGTGTGTACACAACTGACTTGAGTAATGTGGATGGGATACTGATTCCCCCCCCCCCCCCCCCCCCATCTATTTACAAAGAATTAGCAGATGTCTCTGTGTTCAGTGGCTTGACAGCGTGGGGTTTTTTGTCTGCTGTGGAGCTTGTTGCTGTAATACCAATGCAGAATTTTGCATAGAGACTAAGACCTAGATTGTGTTGAATGCTTTTTTTAACTGAAAGTAAACCTACATGATGGCAATAGCTGAAAACTGTGTGAATTTCTGATTAAAATCATTAAGCAGCTTCCCCAAGGGCCCTGAAAAGGTTAATGTTCCTCAGGAACCCATTTTGTGCTGAAACATTTCCTCCCGCTGAGTCAGAATGAAATAATGAACTCTTTTTAGTGTGTGCTTAAGCTTGTGCCAGGCCATGCTGGTAACTTCTCAGCTGGTGTGAAATTACCTTATTTAGGCATATGTTCAGTTTAGGGCTTCTCCCAGCAGCATGGCAGTAATTTCAGAAATTGAAAGGTCATAATATAAAGTAACATTGTGGGGAAGATAGTCACTATCTGAAAGTCAGCTGTTACTTACTAGCTAGTAATTTCTGTACCTTGGGGTTGAGAGGGATTGTAGTAAGCCACAAGACATTGTTCAGTTGCTTATGTGAATGGGGAGCGCTGTATGATGCATGTTTCTCATGTGATGACTAGAGAGAGAGAAAAAAAGTACACCTTGTAGTATGCTACGCTGTGTGTACCTTCTGGAAAGCCTCCAACAGTACATCTGTAGAAAAGCATGGGATGGTTTTGGTAGTCTTTGGGTTGACTTCTGCTCGTAGAGATGACAGTAGAGGAAGTTTTTTCTTTGATTATTCTCCCCCACTCCCTGGACAGGAATTTTGCTGTTGCTGGTACTCTTGTGGGACTATTTGCACTTTCAGATGAAATCTGCCTGTGAAAAACATGTTAGTCTCTTCAGTGAAATATTACTAAGCATGTTGGTTTCAGACCCACCAAAACAGTGGGGAAAAATGTGGAGGGCATGTAAGGAAATGTTCCATTTTAGTCTGGCCCTAAAGCTCTTGCACATTGTAAATAGTGGTTTTTTTGTGCAATGTGATTATTATTCCATACCAGAAGTAAAGGTTTCCTGTGTTCTGTTTGTACTACGAGAGCTGTCAGAAGGGTGGCAGTTGCGTCTTAGCATTTCTTTCAGTAGTTACCTACAGGAAGCAACAGTGGGTGGAGAGAAGCTATGCTTGGCAACTGCTGGATCATTGTTCTTTATGTATATTTTGGGACTTTGCTAAACACTTGTCTCTTTCCTTTTCTCAAGTTTCTGCATGTAACATTAGTTGAAGGGATTTCCTCAAATCCCAGCCAAAATACAGGATACTGTGTGATCGCTACCCCTTGACAAGCAATCTGTTAAAACAGAGACTTGAAACGTGACTTGCTTTGACTGTTGTGCATGTACACCCAGCCACAATATGTACAATGTTCTTTGGTTTGCTAGTTTGTACAGGCTTGTGGACTTTTGTGGAATGGCACAAGAACAGCCTGATGTGGCATTAGTTACCCGAGAGTTTTTAGCTTCTGCACACAGATGTGCATCGGCAGCTTTTTGTTCTAAGAACTCTTTGTAGCCATGTTCTGTTGAAGGACTAACTTGCATTCCTGGAAAGTCATGACTTCTTAGCAAGTACGGCTTTCAGACTAACAGGTACTGAGTCCTTGGCCTCTTTGCTCGTCAGAGTGATTCCCATTGACAGAATTTTCTTCTTCGTTCTGTTTCCCGAAAAGAGTTTTTGACTGGGAGGAGGTGTTGAGTCTGGTAATGCTACAGTAGTCTCTGCTGGTCACAAATGCACATCATGTCTTTGTGTTGGAGTCAATTAGAAAGACTGCAATGCTTCTTATTCCCTCTGATACAGAAAACTACTATATTGGCTATTGTTGAGTGTGGTTTATTTTAGTTTGCAAAAAATAGTGATACTTTTCTCCTCATACTGTGTATATTTTGCTCATCGTATTCTCTTCAGGACACACAGGATGAAACAGCTGTACTTTGGCTAGATGAAATTCAGGATGGGATTCACAGGGCTAACAAGGACACAGAGGAGTCCGAGAGATGTAAGTATTGTCGCACAATATTGAAATTAATCCCCATTATCAGCCAAATACTGGTTACTTAAGGAAAAGCTGGGAGCTAGAAATGTCAGGTAAATGTGACAAGGAAAATCAAATGCACTTACGTGCTTCTGGTGTAGTAATTTTTCTTTGAAGAGTGAATGTCAGATTCTTCAAACGTTAAATTTCTTCTCTTTTGGGGGGATATGCCATTTTGCTAGTTTTACATGTGACCACGTTACCTCATTGAGCAGATCTCTATCGGATTGTCATTTGCAATTAATTGTGTGTGTCTGTGGGTGGTTAGTTAGGTATGAGAATGTTCACATGCACAATTTAAGTGGTGTTTTCCAGTGTGCATTACCTTTTGTTTGTGTGGCATACTGTTGTCTTGTCTCGGTTCTACTAGGTATTTCTAGATTACCTCGTGTATTTTTCAAATACAGACAATAATACACATCAGTGATATCCACCTTTGCTCTTTAGTGCAGTTTGCAGGTGGATTGGCCCACCCATCGTTACATCCCAGTCTTTATAATGATGTAACTTCTGTCTCCAGAAACAATGAAGTAATTACACTCTTTGCTTAACTTGGGATTTTTTGGTTTTGTGCAGTTTTTGTTGTTTTATTGTTGTTATTCCTGACAGAAGCTTTCTAGTTAACGAAACATGAGGGTTTTTAAGGTCTTCTGATATGTCTAGTGATCTATTGTCTGTATATGCTGTTTGTTTGGTACCGGATACTTCAGAGACCTTGTTTTTATATGTTTAAAATACGATATTGTTCTATCTGCATTTACTCTAAATCTCCAATTTTCTGTTACATTCAACGTTTGCACCTGTCTGCTTGTTTTGCACAGTATTAGTAAACTGATTGTTTTCTCTCGTTATAGTCACCTTACATTTTTCTTGATTCTGTTTCTTCATCCCTGGTGTGCTGATAAAATGTCTTACTTTCCACTTCCAAGACTTCTAATTTGATGTTAGTCTGATACTTAAAGTTATCCAAAGATGCACAGTCAGTCCCTTTTGATTTTGCTTTGAATAGGGAACCATACTGGAAACTGAAAAGTTTACTCTGAATCTGGAATCTCCGATGCCTTCTGAAACAGGTTGTCCAAAGACAGTGTGGAATCTGTCGTTCAAGATTTTCCGAACTTGGTCAGGCTAGGCCCTGAAATGAGCCCAGCTTTGAGAAAAGGATTGGACTAGATTGCCCTCCAACATGAGTTCTTAATGAACCTGTGTATCAGATATGTAGAGTTTCTGGCACGGATGATTCCTTTCGTCCTCTCTTTGTTGGCGCAGAAATGAACTTGCTTTTATATTTGTGCCTTGTCCATTTGTATTCTTTATTTGTAGATGTTTTAGAAGACAGAAAAATCATCAGGTTCACAAAAAGCTTTCTAACAAAAGACACAGTGAGCTTGTCCAACTCCACAGTCTAGTTCAGTTGTTTTTTGTGACATTATTTGGCCAGTGAATTCCTCTGTCAACTGGGAAAAAAAAAAAAAAAAGAAAAAAGAAAAAAAGGGGAGGAGGGGGGATAGGGAAAGTAGGGCAGAACTTCAACATGAACACACACCTACAGTTACCTTGCTCTGTTCTGTTGTTCTGTGTTTGCTGTGAGTCACTGAATCCCTGAATGCCAAGATAACCTCCTCCTTGTGTTATAAAAGTCTCCTTAGGAGTTCTGGCGATTAATGAAGCAGTAGACCATGGTGATGTTAGCCAGACCCTGAGTGCCTTGCGTTCACCGGATGTTGGACTATATGGAGTCACTCCAGAATGTGCTGAGACGTACCAGCGAGAGCTGTCAGAAGTCAAGAGAGGAAAAATGGCAGCAGGTAAACCTCGGGTAGCTAACTGTTAGTGAAATAAATTCAAGATTATTGCATGTGGAATCGGAATCAGAGGTAAAAAAGCCTCTGGGGAAAAGTCTTGTGTTACAGGTGGCAGTTGTGGATGCTTATGCTTTGTGATCCCGGGTTTAAAAAAAAAAAACTGAATAGTAGAATTTGTTGTGTTTAGGTAGTTCTTGTATAAGGTCACTGGGGAAGGAGCATTTGTGTATGTGGATTTCCTAGCTGTAACATTTGTATGCAGGAAAGATAAGACGCTTTGGTGTTCTTGAGACTTACACTGCAGTTTCTGCTCTTAGGGGGCAATGACAGTGAATGGGTGAAACACTGGGTGAGAGGAGGCTATCATTATTATCATAACCTGCGGACCAAAGAGGGAGGATGGGATGAACCAGCAGAATTTGTGCAAAATGACACACAGCTGTCACGGGAGGAGATACAGGTAGGGTAAATAACATATGCTCTTTCTCTGAAAAGTTGACGTTCCTGCCATTCCCATCCTTAATGCAGCTCTAAGAGAGAATGCCATAGTCACGTTAACAAGTTTGGTAACTCATTTATTTCACTGGGCATCATCAGATTGTGAGTGTCAAAACTCCTTGTCCCTTTCCAGAAAAAGTCGTCCTGTCAGTAAAAGGGTACAGCAACTTTGAAGTTGCCTTTCAATATTTCTTGTAAGCACAATACAGAAAGCTGATGAAACATTCTGTTTCTGGTATCTCCATTCTCTTTTTCTGTCTCTCCTTCCTACCACAACATTAATCCAGAGCACCATATCAGGAGTCACTGCAGCATACAACCGAGAGCAGTTGTGGCTGGCCAATGAGAACCTGATTATGAAACTTCAGGCTTGTTGTCGAGGATATCTTATTCGCCAGGAATTCAACTCAAGAATGAATTTTTTGAAGAAACAAGTCCCAGCAATCACTTGCATTCAGGTAATCATGTTTAAAACTTGTACTCTGCAATTGTTTTCTATACACAAGCTTATTGACAGTTTTTGTTCAATTCAAACATTTACAGCACACAATTGTCTTCACCTCATTTTGCAAATTATCTAAAGACATTTCCTTCTCCCAGAGAGTTCTGGTGTATTACTTACTTTTCTGTGTCATATATAATCAATAAAGTCTTCTCGGGCGGAATTGGAGAGAGGAAAACTTAATTGAGGAAGCTTTACCTATCATTTTATTATCAGATTCAGTGTTTTGGGAGTAAGACAATATGAAGTGAGCCATATGTCTTTCTGGTGATAACACCATGTTATGAATTACTACTGTGATTCCTCATGAACTGAAGAAAACCAGCATGGCTTTCAGTATTCCTGATTAGGGGTCATCTTCTCTTCAAATTTGTCCAGAGATTTGGAGGACTGAGGAACTGAAAGAGATGGTGGGATAATTCACCATGAGGTTGGGCACATTTACGGGAGAACAATGAAAAAATCTTTTTCTGGTGTTGTAACTGAAATGTGTGCAAATGAAATACATGCTTTGCACCCTATTACCACTTTATTATTTAAGCAGTATATGTGTGTTTGTTTCTGCCTAATAGCATGTGCTCTGTGTGTATATCTGAAAAAAAACCCACAACAAAACCTCCCAAACAGCTCCCAGCTCATTAAAATGACACTCTCTCCCTTTAAGTGTAGTCCAACCCCTTGCCTAATTTCTGTTCCAAGTAGCAGTAGCAGTGACTCTGCTCTGAAGACTTACAACGTTACATCACTGTCCTCACCAGCAGCAGCATCTAACACGTGATCCTCAAGAAGAACAGTTTCTGTTGAACTTGACTGTTTAACTATATCCTTGATCTCTAACTGTGCTTCAGAAGGCCTAGACTCTTCATGGGGTAATTTCAAGTCTGTCAGCGTTACAGTTGATGAAATAGTTAATGCTTCACACTGCATATCTCTTGATAAGATAAGCATGTATCCCTCACATTTTACTTAGCTAAAAGGAAGGTCAGAAGCTGAGGAGCAGAAAGAAGCTCAGATTTGTAATTACTTCTCTTTAATTAAAAAAGTGAAGTCAGTGTGCCTGTTTTCTGGTTTCAGTCCCAGTGGCGTGGATACAAGCAGAGGAAGGCATATCAAATCCGTTTGGATTACCTGCGAGCACAAAAGGACCAAGTAGTGAAGGTAGTGAAGGCTCCCTGCTGACTTTTTTGATAAACCTTTGGGTAGTGAACTTTGTAAGAAAGGTTTTTATCTGAGTATTTTGGTTACCCTTCTATAGATTCAATCAATGACCAGGATGTATCAAGCCAGAAGACGTTACAGAGATCGTCTGCAGTATTTCAGAAACCATGTAAGAGGCTATCTTGTTAAATGAATTCAGTACCTGACTTTTGTACTCTTTCCAGAATGAGGTCAAGTGCTTTTTTTTTTTTAATCCTAGATAAATGATGTTATAAAAATTCAAGCCTTTATCCGAGCAAACAAAGCACGAGAAGACTACAAAACCCTCAGTAAGTATTGCCAAGAGGATAAAACTGATGTGCCTCAAATCTCTTTGCAAGGGATGTTGCTAGTGTGATCTGTAACATCGAGACAGTTTTAAAGAGCAATTGGGATGAAGTTGGTAGGGCAGCGCAGAGAGTAGGTAGTTCTTGAGGCTGAAGGAAAACTTGATTCCAACTGTTGCTTTTGCTGCTGAAAAATAGAACTATAGCTTTGCAGTTAACTTTGGTGTGGACTACCCTAGGCGGATACTGACTTTGTTCTTTACTGTTTGCTTGTCTCATGATTTACTCAAAACAAGAAATTCAAAATGTCGGAATCCGTTTAGACATGGTGGTGCTAATTTTATTCTGGCTGCTCTTTGGTTTGCTGTTTAAACGTAGTTAAGGCATATGTTTACTTCTGTTTCCCATCCCCTGATGTTTTCTCGCCTATTTTTAGTTAATGCTAAAAACCCACCTATGGCTGTAGTTCGGAAATTTGTCCACTTGCTCGATCAGAGTGACCAAGATTTTCAGGAGGAACTTGAGCTAATGAAACTGCGCGAGGAAGTTGTAACCTTGATCCGATCCAATCAGCAACTGGAAAATGACCTCAATCTCATGGACATCAAAATTGGGCTGCTAGTGAAAAACAAAATTACATTGCAGGTAGGAAATGTGCTGATGGGAGACCAACTACAAATTGAACTGAGCCCAGTGGTAGTTAGCATGGAGAGCCTCCTGGCCTTGGATGTCAGTTGCTCAGGCTTAGCGGAAAACATTTCCCCAGACTTGCAGTTTTTACTCCCAGTATGTTCTTACTCCATTCCACTAATTTAGTATGTATCCCTGGAAACAAAACTGTAGGAGGAAAAGAAACAAGACCTGAAGCTAAAAAAGACAAACAAACACCAGACTATCTTGACCTAGTGAACGCAACAGATTGTGTGTTTGAAGGCTTTGAGAACTCTGTCTTGTTGCTCCTTTATGGTTTAAACAAGTGACATGCCACAAGCTTGCAGCAAGGGGGGTGATTTTGGAGGCAGGAGACAGACTTGTGCCACTTGATGTTTGTTGGTTAAAGGAGGCCCCTCTACCACTCGGCTGACATGATTAATTTCACAAAAAAAAAAAGCTCTTGCTGATACAGCATTGCCTTTTCTTCAAGCTGAAGTTCTGATCAGGTTTTCATTTAGTCCTGGATGGCATAACACTAGGCTCCTCCCAGTGTAAAATCTCAATTGGTGTAGTGAACTTAATCTCGGAAGGAGGCTGCAGCCTTTGGGATGGTGCCTGCAGCAAAAAGTGCCATTGCTGTTAGAGTATGTAGAGGTAGCAAGCTAGCTGAGTATGAAACAGGATTTTTAGGTTTTAAGCCCAATTTAAAAAGGAAAAAATTTTCAAGCATCTTCAGGATGCTACCAACTCTAATAGTAATTTCTGCCAACAGTAACTAACCCTTCTGGGGTTTCAGACAAATTCACGAAGTCGGGGACAAAGCAGAACATGTACTCCCAGTCAGAGAAATTGCTGCCATAGCAAGTAATGCTTCACTTTCATAGCCCGAGGCATCCCTTGACCCTGCCTTTCAATATACAAGAGAAGGGGGCTCTCAGATGCAACTGTTTTCCAATATTGCCTGTTATGAAATACTTGGTGGAATCAGTCCCTGTTTGTTCTTTCCAGGATGTTGTTTCTCATAGCAAAAAACTTACCAAGAAGAACAAGGAACAGCTCTCTGACATGATGATGCTGAACAAACAAAGGGGAGGCTTGAAAGCTTTGAGCAAAGAGAAGAGAGAGAAGCTGGAAGCCTATCAGCATCTGTTCTACTTACTTCAGGTAAGCAGCTTCTAACCCTGCTCAGTAACCTCTTGTCATAGAGGCTTATATGCCTGGTACAGTCTTTGCTTATGCACTGTAGTTTTGAACCACCATAGTTCTTAGGAACACTGGCCTGTGTGGACATGCCTACTAAGTAATTTTTCTTGTTGTTGTAGACTAACCCAACCTACTTGGCCAAGCTGATTTTTCAGATGCCTCAAAACAAATCCACAAAGTTCATGGATTCTGTCATCTTCACGCTGTATAACTATGCATCCAATCAAAGAGAGGAATACCTGTTGTTGCGGCTTTTCCAAACAGCATTGCAGGAAGAGATCAAGTATGTGGTAGCATACAGCACATTCTTGCTGTTGAATCAGTTGTGGCCATTTCTTGAATTGAGGCAGTTTTCATGTTATGTCTCATGCTAATATGCAGATAATGCTAACCTGTCCCTTCATTGTCCTTTTCCCATTTCATATCTGTTCTTAATGTAGTCTATAAAGGAAGAGTTGAGTATGCCCGTTTAGGATGAGGGCTTCTTACTTCAGACAAGATTTCACTGCTCAACATGGCAGCTACTTTTAATCTGATGCAAAGTCATCCTGAAATTCAGTCTAATCTCAGTTCTCCAGTGTCTGGTTATAAACACCTCCAACAAACTGCAAACTCAGGTTTTACAAGCCAGGGAGAGAGCTAACACTAAGCTGTCTGGATTTCCAGAAGCTGATGAGGAGGCTGAAACCAAGAGGCTTTATTGTTTGGCACTTCTATTTACTGTCAGTGTTAGGGACTCCTGGCTGTCCTCAGGCATGTTTTGTTTGATTGGTTGGGCCTTAGGAGCTTGGTGTTACCTGACTTCAGTTCGTTTCAATGCAGAGCTGCTGTGAAGAAGAATATGCAATAAAATTTTTTGCGGAACTACTCTTTAAGCAGTCTTTGGAGTGCTTTTTCAGCATGAAGATGGTATATGCCCTGAAACAAATAACTTCTAAAAGAGGATCCCCGCCCCCCCAAATTCATGCTTGGAGTAGTAGTCCAAGGAAATGTAGACACTTCTCTGCCACTGTATTTCACATAGCGGTATACTAGGAGTGGCCTTTGATTGCTTGTTTTCTTAAATACTGGAAGAAACCTACTGTTCTTTTTCTTCTCTACATAAAACATGCTCTGTTTCCTTTGTATTTTTGAATTTTGCTCTCAAATAGAATTTACAGTTGCATTTGCACTAATTGTCATTGAGGTGACTACTGGCAAGTTGCATTGGAATTCCCAAACAGAGGTCATAAGTTTCTTGCCTCATCTGTCTTGAGAAGTGTTCTGGTGTTGTTCTCATACAGTGTTGTAGTGTATTGCTGTATCGAGATTTTAGTACAAATCCATCATCTGTTTCGTGAGGGTGATGTTCTGTAACTGTTTTATGCTGAGGAGTGTATCTAAAGCTGACAGAATTATGCGTACCTCATATTTCATATAGATTCTTTCTTCTTCAGATCAAAAGTAGACCAAATACATGAAATTGTGACTGGGAACCCTACTGTTATTAAAATGGTGGTAAGTTTCAACCGTGGTGCCCGTGGTCAGAATGCCCTGAGACAGATCTTGGCACCAGTTGTGAAGGAAATCATCGATGACAAATCACTCAATATCAAAACTGATCCAGTGGATATTTACAAGTCTTGGGTTAACCAGATGGAGTCTCAGACCGGTGAGGCCAGGTATGGGAACTGTTACTACTGTGTTTTTCTAAACATTGCTTCGCTGCTTTGCGCTGCTTGGTTAATCATTCCAAGCCATGTTTGGCTTCACTGCATTCATCTATCCAACTGACACCGGCTTTTCCATCTCCTCAAGATGACTTTTATCCAAGAGTTCTAAAGATCGTGTTCTGGCAATGGTGCTGAGGGTATTGAAAGGGAATCTCATTAGGAGGTGGAAGAAGAAATGCTTTTTGATGTTTGCCTGTTTTGACTTGATAATTAGCTATGAGATGCCCTCTAACCTAAAAGAAACTGTGGTAAGAAAAAGTATTTGGGAATCAGTTCTGTATCAGTCTCCGTTCCTGTCGTATATAACCTGTGCAAACTTGGGTACTATTTGCAAGCCAACAAAACCTCTTTTGCTGGAGGAGAGGCATGATATTGCAGTTCATTTAGTCTGAACATCTTTCTAATTAATATCAGCCGCTGATGACAATTGGATTGTGCTAGATGGTTTTGTGTTATTCTGGTTTATTTTTCTTCCAGTGCATGTGATTTGCTAGAACTTGAGGTTTTTATTGTGTTCTATTGTGGCAGTGGTTTTTTTAACGCACTTTAAAAAAAAAAAAGCCATACAGATGAGTGAGTTTCCCCATTCAAAGCCATCTGCAGTCATATATCTTAGTGGCTCAATGTCTAGATGGAGATTGGTGACAAGTGGTGTCCCTCAGGGGTCCATACTGGGACCAGTGCTTTTTAATACCTTCATCAATGACAGAGACAGTGGGATCGAGTGCCCCCTCAGCAGGTTTGCAGATGATACCAAGCTGAGTGGTGTGGTTGACGCACCTGAGGGGCAGGATGCCATTCAGAGGGACCTGGACAAGCTTGAGAAGTGGGCCTGTGTGAACCTCATGAGCTTCAACAAGGTCAAGTTGCAGGGTCCTGCACCTGGGTGAGGGCAACCCCAGGTATCAGTACAGGCTGGGGGCTGATGTGATCGAGAACAGCCTTGTGGAGAAGGACTTGAGGGTACTGGTAGATGAAAAGCCGGACGTGAGCTGGCAATGTGCAATTGCAGCCCGGAAAGCCAACCGTACCCTGGGCTGCATCCAAAGCAGTGTGACCAGCAGGTCGAGGGAGGGGATTCTACCCCTCTTCCCCGCTCTGCTGAGACCCCCCCTGCAGTACTGCCTTCAGCTCTAGGGTCCTCAGCACAAGAAGGACATGGACCTGTTGGAGCGAGTCCAGAGGAGGCCACAAAGATGATCTGAGGGCTGGAGCACCTCTCCTGTGAAGACAGACTGATAGAGTTGGGGTTGTTCAGCCTGGAGAAGAAGAGTCTCCGGGGAGACCTTAGAGCAGCCTTCTTGTACCTAAAGGGGCCCACAGGAAGGATGGGGGCCTTTTTAGCAAGGCCTGTTGTGACAGGACAAGGGATAATGGGGTAATGGTTTTAAACTAAAGCAAGGTAGATTCAGGCTAGATCTAAGAAAGAAACTTTTCACAATGATGGTGGTGAAACACTGGCACAGGTTGCCTGGAGAGGTGGTAGATGCCCCGTACCTGGAAACATTCAAGGCCAGGCTGGACAGGGCTCTGAGCAACCTGATGGAGTTGAAGATGTCCCTGCTCATTGCAGGGGGGCTTGGACTGGATGACTCTTAAAGGTCCCTTCCAACCCAAAGCATTCTGTAATTCTATCTTGCCATACACCTGGTTCAAAATTCTGCACATGTTAAAAATGTAGGCAGAGGTGTGTGTTCAGGTCTTTCTCTTTACATGAGATTTAGGAGGCACTTTTACAAATTATCCACTTCATCTGTCTGACTTTCCTGGAATACTATGCAGTAACTTCAGCTGATGGAGAAAACATAACTGCTTATTTGGCACTGCTTCCTACCAAGAGCATGTTATATCGATTTTATGGCTACTGCTCTAGCTTCTGGCTTGCATCCAAGCTTTTATCATCTTAATATTCAAATGTGGATCTTGCTTCTACCAATTTATTTGCAGTCTAAAGTACCACTGTGTGTCACAGCGCTTTCTTGCATAGTGTGTGTGCTGTAAAAAAGATACAGTTTTGAGTTAGCTGGGCTTTTTTTTCTCACAGTGGTCATTGCAAGGGAGAGTAGAGGAAGTAAATGCAAGAAGCGTTCAGCTTCTCCAGTGTGGTTAATTGAAGGCAATGCATAGCTCTTGGCAGCCAAGTGAATATAGCCTTGTTTCTGTGTTGAGCTAGAAATTCTTGAAATGTGCTAGCTTGAGCAATACTCACCTTCACATGTTTTGACTCTTTCAAATAGCAAACTGCCATACGATGTTACACCTGAACAAGCTCTAAATCACGAAGAGGTGAGGACGCGCCTGGATGTGTCAATCAGAAACATGAGGACAGTGACAGACAAGTTCCTGTCTGCTATTGTTAGTTCAGTGGACAAAATCCCGTGAGTCTGGTGTACCACAGTATTATCCCTGAGAAGTTGGAGGGTTCATGTTTGCAGCAGTCTTATTTGCCCTTTTCTTTCTCTTGAAGTTACGGAATGCGTTTCATTGCCAAGGTACTAAAAGACTCCCTGCATGAGAAGTTTCCTGATGCTGGCGAGGATGAACTTCTGAAGGTGAGGATCTGAACACTTTTGTCAATAATTGTCAGCCAAATTGGCTGTGGTGAGCACATCTTTCTTCTCCTTTGTTGGGTGTATGTGTGGAGAGAGATGCATATAAACCTATATAAAGCTTATTTATTTACTTCTATGGATAGATAATGTTTCTCATTGGGCTTTTGATTGTTAGCTTCATATACATCACCTTAGATGCAATACATTGTTCAGAAGGAGGTATCCTGTTGCTTTTGCTTTGCTTTGAATATCTTGGGCATTTGGTCCTTTAGGTTTCTTGACTTGGGGTACTCATTGCTCCTAGAAAGTAAACCTTGGTTTTGCTGGTATGATCACAGCCAACTGCTCCTTTCTTAAAGAGACAATGTCAAGTTAAAAAGTCTGTATGCAAAATTCTGATATTCCTAACTCCCCTATCTGTAACACTCTAGGATATTTTGACAGCAACATGTGGAGAGTCACTTTCCATGATGTCTAGTCAGTTTTGTATTCTATGTTTTACTAGGTTTGGAGAACTAAAAGGATCCTAATAGTAGGCACTCTCAGATGAGTATAGCTTTTGGGGTTTTCATTGAAATTTATTTGGTTTTATGGCTTTTGGTAACTGTGAAGGCCTTTATGTCCATGAATGCTTAGCTTCTTAATAAAACAGTTTGGATCTTAGAATACTTGACAGCATCTCTTTAAACTTCTCTGCCTGTGCTTCATTACAAAATAATTACCAATCTGAATGCTGTTTTCTTCTCTCTTCTAGTTCTGTGCTTTCCCATTCTGAGACATCGATTCTTTATGTGCAGGTGAATTAATTTCTTCCATCTGTAAATTTAGGTGGAAAACTGTGGTTTTTACTAATCCTTGTGGAAACAATGCAACTATCCACATGAAAATCAAAACTGCAGTTGCATGCAATGACTACTTACAGATACTTTTTTTTTTTTGCCACCAAAGCTACCCATATAATATACTCTTCTCCTCTCCCTGCAAGTTTGAAAGTTAATAATACAGTTTCTTTCATGGATGTATGTTCATATTGCTGGTAGTAAACAGCTTTGACTGTTGTCATCCCATGACATAGTCTGTGAGAGTAAGCAGGGGCTTGCATGAAACAGTTGTCAAAAACATGACCTCACTAAAAGCAGGTAATAATTTCTGGGGCTGCTCAGCAACAGCTAGATTTTTTGCTCTCTGCTTTCAGCTGTTTGTTCAGACCCAAGTCTCTTCCATGCATTTAAGTCACATGGCAAGCAGGCAAAGCCAATATTCGCTGATGTGGCTGTCTGCAAATTTCTGTGAACCACCAGAAAATACTAGAGCATGTGGCATGAGAACTATTGCTTCACATCAGTGTGTTGAGTTAACTCCTTTTCAGTGGTGGAAAGACTGTCAAAATGTCACATACAGCTCAGAAGTACATTTGTGAGCATATGGATAATGTGATATCTTTATTTTTGGTTCCTTGAAGTTTATTCCTGCTTACGTTTGACTAGGTAAATTGGATTTTGAAGCTTCAAATGCCATTTGTGTTCTGTACTTCTGATTTTCTTACCTCTGGATTAAATGGTTTCTCAGTTATTCTTGCTAACTGGGAGTCTGTGCCTAAAAACGTTGCTGACTTATCAAAGAATTAGTCTGAAAGATAAAAGGGCTTTGGAGAAAGAATGGAAAGTAGTTTCTTCAGTTTAACTCCTTGGTGTGCCATGTTTCCTCACCATTTTTGCTTTGTTGGAGAAGGCAGCCGATTCTGCATGCTTCTCTAAGAATTAACTCTTGTTCGATATTGAAACTGCATTACTGGGTTCCTCTGTGCCATGATTGTTCTGCCCTCTGTTAGACTAATACAGTTACATTTAATTCTCCTGATAGATTGTCTCGTGCTCATGTGAGTAGTCCTTTGGTAACTTGTAATATCTCCTGTCCATACATTTTTATAAGTTAAATCTTTATGGATAGGAATGTCTGCTCCTGTATTGCCCTGTGACTACTGCTCAGTCTTCCTTCTTTGTGTTGACCATCCTATTGCGTCTTAATTATTTTTCCCCCCCCACACACACACTATAGGTCCTTTGGGCTAGTATGTGCTTGTATACAGCAGCACGGCAGAACCTTTATCTTGGAAGGGGTCTTTGACTTATGAGAAAATAATTTATCAAAACACAGAGTAGTTTGAATAAAATTCAGTTGGGTCCTATACCATTGTTTCTTGATGTGTTTCTTCTCTACTCAACTTTTCCCAGATTGTTGGCAACTTACTCTATTATCGCTACATGAATCCAGCCATTGTCGCACCAGATGCATTTGACATCATTGATCTTTCAGCTGGAGGTCAGCTGACCACAGATCAACGCAGAAACCTTGGCTCCATTGCAAAGATGTTGCAGCATGCTGCATCCAATAAGATGTTCATGGGAGACAATGCACACCTAAGCGTCATTAATGAATACCTATCGCAGTCACACCAGAAATTCAGGTACAAGACCTTAGCTCATTAAGTTGGGAAGTTTGGCAGAGGGTAACACTGCAAGTAAAAAGGGATGATAATAATTTTTAAATATGATAAATTCTATCTCTGTCAAATATGCAGTCTGTTGAAAATAAGATATTGTACTCCAGACTGCCATAAGCATCAGTGACGACGGCAGATAAAATGTGTACCTGGAATTTATGAACGATACATTGTATGTTAATGAGATAGCAAAGTCAAGTATTTTGACTTAGGAGTTTCCAGAATAAAGATTGCTTTTGCACATGTTTATTGTGATGCTTTGGATGTGGGCAACTAGAAGGGACGTACATCCTTCTGTGCCGTATGAACCCTGGCTCCACATGAAAACCGAGTGGTGTTCAGGAATAAAGCAGGTTGGCATTTAGCTGTCTGTATAGTTGAATTAAGCTTTTGTTCAGGAATCATCATCTTATACCTCTCATCTTTCGGAAGAAAGAAAAACAGAGATTGCTGGAAGCAAGGGGTGTTACTGCGGTGGAGGCAGGAGAATGTGTGAACAAGGTCACTGGAGCCATAGACTAGTCCTGTGACTGCTGAAAATGAACCAATGTCAACATGGCCAATATCAATAATTGAATTTATTAGGTTACTTCTGATGTGTTAAACTAAAGGTGACAAACTGTAGTGTGCCATAATGTACTATGGTTTAAAGAAGAGAGACTACGCTTGGGATTGTCATGGGGAGTTAATGTTCTTGATGCATTATGTGACTCTCAGACTCATACTGATTCTTTTTTTCTCCTCCTTTTTTTTGAAGACGTTTTTTTCAGGCTGCCTGTGAGGTTCCTGAATTGCAGGATAAATTTAATATTGATGAATATTCTGACTTGGTGACTGTCACTAAACCAGTTATTTATATTTCCATTGGTGAAATCATCAATACACACACTGTAAGTATACATTGGTCACAGTTGCTCCTTATAAGTAGTGCTTACAAAGAGATTGCTGCTTCTGGCTGAAATGCAAAGTTACCAAATGCAAGGCTGAAAGTTGTCTTTTGATTGTAGTGTGCAGAAGGTTGTCAGTTTATAGAATTAAGTAATTTATTTGTGGCTTCTCTAAGTTTCTTTTGAAAGTATTTGAGTATGTGATAATGGCACAGCTTTGAATGTTGATGCTTTGGAGTTCAGTGAAATAAGATCTTTTTCTAAAAGAGATCAGCTCAAAGTAATATAATTTTACTATATAGAAAATGATGTATGATTAACAACACAAATATTCTTTCTGTTCATCTAGTTGCTCTTAGACCATCAAGATGCAATTGCTCCTGAGCACAATGATCCAATTCATGAGCTGCTGGACGATCTCGGAGAGGTTCCTACAATTGAGTCCTTAATAGGTAGTTTAGTTTATTGTACATAAATATGTGATATTACTTTAAATTATTTGAAGTGCAGTAAAGGAACTATCTAAGGAATCATCACAGGTGGTTTGGGAGGATGTGCTCTAAAAAGCAGCAGCAGATTTGTTCCAGTGTATTCTCTCTGACTGCAGAATCTGTTACCCTGAAAAAAACAGTGGTTCTTTCTCTTCTCCTCCCCACGCCCCTCACCTCACCCCACTCCAGAAGTTCTAGAAGACAGACAGATATTTTGACATGTTTTCTTCATTCCATTACGCTGGAGCCATTTTGCTCTGTGTGTGTGTGTGTCCATCCTAGCTTGTTTGCAAAGATCTGTCCTCTGTTCTGGAGATCTGTATGGATTCTTTTCAGATGCGGTAGTAAATGTATTAAATGAGACGTGTTCCTGTAGAGATCTTTGGCATATGGACAAATAACTTTTTTCTTCTCCTTTAGTTTTTTTATATATGTTAAGAATTTTATCCTCTTTCTTCTGACTGGAGAAGGAAGGAACTGACTTTACTAATCTCTGAAAGTTTTCTAAAAACCTGAGTCACAGTTCACTGGTTCAGGATATAACAAACATGGGAAAGTTGCACAAGCCTCTTGAAGTCACTTGTTGAGAAAGGTTGGAATCTTTTAAAGGGATGATTGCTAGCACGTTTTCTTCTGAGCACTGGCAAAGAACAGAACATAAGAAGTGTTATCTGAGTGAACCTAGACCTTGAGTTTAACTAGAACGTACCCTCCTGTGTGCATTGTATCGATGTGGTTAATACATTAGTTTAAGCTTTCTGCAGCCCTTTAAAAAAGGGGGGTGGGAGGGGAAGCATCTTAACAACTGTTCTGATGAAAGTTCAGACACAATTACAGCAAGAAAATTTCCTTTTGACAGGATAGCTTACTTTGTTTAATAGAAGATTACAAGCTCAGTTACCAACAAGGGCTTTGCTTTTAGCTTGGAAAATTCATTCTAATGAGGACACAGACATAGAGGCATGGTCATATTTTTATTTATAAAGTATTTTTTTTGGCAGATCAGCTACTCTTCTCAGTAAAGAGTGAGATGCTGAGATACAGTATGGAATACGCATACATCTTTAGGGAATATGAACTAGTGATTTTGTGGTGCCTTTCTGGCCAGTGCATTCTCTAAGTTTTGTGAAGAAGTAGTCTGTAACATACTCAATATGATGTTTTTAAAAGTTGGTTTTGGCTTTTGAAGTGTCCTTTTGGTAGTATAGGAAACAGTGTAGTTTTTCTGTGGTCTGTTACGTAGGGAAAAAATTATAAAACTCTAGCAGTCAAGAATGTA